GTTGGTTAATAATTTGTCAAGATCTCTTTACATGTGATATAATCTCATGATGTTGTTCGATTCGAGGTGTTCCAAACTAAGGTCATTGTCAGATGATTTTATCAATTAACAAAATCGAAGAGGAAGGATGAAGCTACGCTCCAAGAACTGAAATAAGTAGAGGTGTAAGTGGGTTGTGTCTAGACCTGTTCATGGGCCGGGTGGCCTGACGGGCCGGTCCGGCCCGGCCCAACCCCCGGTCGGGCTTGAACAGGCTTTTTGGCCACGGGCTTAATCTCGGGCCAAAATGCCCGGCCTGCATAAAATTCGAGCCGGGCTCGGGCTTTGCCAAAATAGCCCGGCCCGAGCCCGGCCCGGCCCGACCTATAGTTAAACATAAGTAAAAACCCTATGTGATGTCCATTTGAATAAATTTTTTGATTTGAGAAGGTTGTTGATTCACTTGTAGGCCCATTGTTCATTTAAATAGGGAAAAAAAAACATCTGAATTAAAATAGATAGTCTATTTGAATAGGGAAACTTTTGATTCTCTTTTATTAGGTCGGGCTTCGGGCTTTTTATCAGGGCCGGGCTCGGGCTCGGGCCTATTATTTTTCTGTTAATGAACACTAAAAGCCCGGCCCGACCCGGCTCATGAACAGGTCTAGTTGTGTCGTGCTAGCCCGCAGGCTATCACGGGCTGTGTCGCCCTCCCAAGTGAAAAATTTAGAGGTTGGCCCAACACAGCCCACGGCCCAGGCCCGTGTAGGCTTGAGCTGTAGGCTTGGGCCATGCCAGGCTGGGCCATAGGGTGGGCCTTGGGCCTACGCCGAACTAGGCTAGACTAATTTTTTGATTTTTTTTTTGTTTTTGAAATTTTTTATTTCTTTTCTAAGTAAAAGTGTAAAACTAAAATATTTAACTTTCCTTTAAGCTTTGGGAACTATTTGAAAAATTTTGAAATGAGAAATGAGAAATGTAACACATGATTGAAAAAAATACTTAACAAAGTAATAATCAAGAATGATGGAATAACAAATTGGAAGAAAAATAGGAATTTTATTTCATTTTAATTTGAATGATACAAATTACAAAGCATACAATGGTTAGATACTTGGATGAATGAAATATGAAAATGGAATAAATTAATAAAATATAAAAAATACAATATAGTTACAAATTGAGAATAGAAAATTACATTGTTAAAAAAKAGCAAATAAATTAAACAAAATTTACAATAATTTGAAAAAAAATTATATACAACTAGTCAACTATTGTTCATGAATCATGACTTTCATCATCTGCTTTAGGTGAAATATCCGGTATAATATCATGTCTTCCTTTGTCTTGTAATTTATGTTTTACATCTAGCCAATCCTTAAAGCAGATGTGCATCTCTATACTTTCATCGTTCATGCTGCTTCTTTTGTCATCCAACACCCTGGTACCTGCACTAAAACAAGACTTCAACGGAACTGTAGACATCGGAGGGGTTAGTACATCATGTGCCATGACCGCATTGTAAAGTTACTTATAACTTTACCCAAAATGCCCCCCTAAACTAGTTGTTATATTGTTGTTTGGGGGCATTTATGTCATTTTTTAACCCCCCATAAGCAAAATACAGAAATACCCCCCTATTATGGTTGTTTATAGTTGTTGGGGGGTAT